ATGTGGGGGAGGCGGCTCCTTCCCCTTTTGGTGCAATTTTTGACGAATTTTGCTTCTTGGCTGAGTTTTTGATCTGTTTGGGACATTCAGGGACTGTACATGGGAACCTAAATGAGTTTTAAGGTTATATTAAAGCTCCAGAGGGTGTGGGAATGGTTAATAAACCACTTGGGGTTTATTAGTTGAACAATAACCAATTCTAAACAAAGTTGTAAACTGTTAGGGAATGCAAGTGGTTTAAGTTGCTTAACTTGTTGTAGGAACTTTCTGTAAATGATTATCAAATTCTAGTCATGTATTAATGGTATAGAATAAGCATTGTTAAAATCTATATATTTTTACTATGCTTGTTAAGGAGTAATTGATGTTTAAATTTCAGCATTTATCGCATCAATTGTTGGATTGGTGATATAAGCATGATAATTTGTCAATGTTCATTATGCTTGCTATGGAATCAATGGAGGTAGATATTTATTCATGTTCTCTCAATAATATGGATTCTGGGATAAATTGATAATTACATATACTGTTATATCACCAATTACTAGATTATGGTTGCGTAGTTTAAAAGCAGCATATTAAATTACATAATTTTTGTATGCTTTTTATGGAACAATTGAATGTCTAGTTTAATATTTTTATTCTAAATTGTTGGATTTATGGATCAGTTGATATTTACATGCATGGTCTGTATTATCAACTACTGGATGGATGGAATGTATGCACCGGTATGGGACGGGGGCATACAAGGGGGATTAGCTCAAAAACCGCTAAGTCCTACCTATTCTGGGATTAAGGAAATGGATTGACTAAAGGTGAAATCCTATGGATTTGTAGTGTCAATGGATTCTGGATGGATTTTAGATATATTTTTATGGTACCTCGATATGAGCTTGAGTCTCAGGATCGACGGTTAGGGAGCGTATATGCATTGGGATGCATAGCTGGCTATGATGGTTGGAGGTGTACCCTGTTAGGCTTAGGTACACATGCCCACTTTGTGTGCGTTTTGCATGTTGCCTCTATTCAGGTTGAGACCGGCCTGTAGTCCAGTGAGAGTCCTTTAGTGTGATTATATATATATACATACAGACTGTTAGCTAATGTTGAGTTGGTTAGAATGTACATGCGTATCGAGTCTCTGCTTGGATTGTAGTAGGATAGAACTTGTTCGTGGGCCTGACCCACTCCTATTTTTCAGGTGTACGTCAGTTCCAGGTTTGAGCTTGTTCGTGCTGTGCAGGGACGATCTTCCATTCTACCGACGATGTAGGATTTCTTTCCAGATCTTGGATTTGGGTTTTATCTTTCTTTTTACTTTCTTTTAATGTGAGATTTTTATTAGGGGTCCACTAGAGATGGATTCCCGAGTTGTTCAAATTATGGATATTTGGTTTATCAAATTTAAGTATTTAATTATTTAAGGATTATCTTTTAGTTTCTTTTCAGCTTTAAACTTTCATTTCTTAATTCATTTTGTATTCTGTGTTCGCTATAACATATTAATTGTTTGATACTCCCTCGGGTTTGGGCCTGGGCCTGATCAACCCGTGTCTCAGATCCGAGGGGTATCACAACTTGAAAATTCCACCCATGTTTAGCGAGAAGTGCCACATTATAACTTTCAAAATCACAGAAGCCCAAACCACCAATATCCTTACTTGTACAGAGATCATCCCACTTCACCCAACATAGTTTTTTAGAAGAAGTCTAAGAACCACACCAAAATCGCCGGACAATAAAAGTTAATGAAGAACAAAGCTTACGTGGAAGTTTAAAACACGACATCACATAGGTTGGGAGAGCACTTAATACGGCTTGGATAAGAACCCTGCGTCCTGTGGAAGAAAGAATGCGAGATTGCTAGCTTGCCAAACGATTAACAACTCGTTCATAGAAATAGTGAAACACATCCCATTTTGATCTCCCAATAATGGCTGGCAGGCCTAGATATTTCTCCTTCAGACCTTCTTCGCGAATACCCAGAATATTGCATATATCTTTTTTCCCCTGGTAAGAAATATTTTTAGAAAAGAAATTGGAAGATTTTAGAAAATTAACTTGTTGACCTAATGCTTGTTCATAAAATAATACTCGCAATAAATATAATGATAATGATAATAACAATATACCCCAAGAAAAAAAAAAAAAAAAAATATTGGAAGATCAATTCTATGGAAGTAGGTTTTGACATGATACACATCTCTCTATTTATTTTATTTTTTTTCATAAAATCTCTGTTCTTGAAATTTTATTGTCAAAACCATCAGCGCTTTTCTTATCAACAAGAAAATTTTCAACATTTAAATACATTTCAAATGAGTTCTTAAAAATCACATTAAGGAGAAAAAAAAAAAAATGTAATTAAACTCAAAACACTCGATAGGAAAAGAAAAATTTACCATCACCATTAGCATCCATGGTGTTGAATGACTTATGAAGTTTTGATAGTTTTTACATGTTTCTTGTGCTAATTTTCCTTTTTTTTTTTTTTTTTTTTTTTTTTTTTTTTTTTTTTTTCTTTAGTTGTATTGTTACATACAAAGATCAATATTAAGTCCTAACTGAAAGTAAAGAAATAATTAAGAAAGGCTGTAAGTGACCCAAAACGTTAAATTAGGGAAAGAGTGTAAGATAAAAATATATTTCTATAACTGAAAGGGTAATTATGGTATTTGAAAACAAATATTATTATTTATTTATAAAATTAGAGATATAATTGTCCTTTCCCTTAAGAGTAAGCTGGAGTGCGAATATGGCCTCCATTTTTATATTTTTTTTTATTATAATTCACTAATATTTATTTTAGTAATGGATAATATTCAACAAATTAATAAAACTAATTTTTAAAAGGAAAATGAAAACCTCAAACAATATATGTATATATAAAATAATAAGATAGGAAATATGCGGTAGAGTTTTATAGAAACTTTTCAAACACCTTATAATTAATACTCAAATACTGAAACTATTTGGGTTAGACTTTTATAATAACTTTTTATATATAATTAATAAATAAATACAGAAATATTAATACTCTTTGTTTTAGAGTTTTTATAGAAGCTCATTTTATATACTAATTAATAAATATTTTATATTAATAAATAAATACTAAAATATTATAATACTAAACTCTTTGTACTTTTATTAATCGTATATATTATTTATTTATTATTATTATTATTATTACTTTTTTTTTTCTTTTTTTTTTTTTCACTTCTGGAAAGTTAGATGATGACATGACATATTATCACGTAATTTGTGTCACTTCCCAGAAGTGCCCCACTTGAGGGCCAAAGGTTATTTTCATGGTTTCGGCACTTTTTCATTAAGGCCACTATTGGAGTATAATTGCCATTACCTGTGCATATTATTAAGGTCAAACGTCAATTCTATTTCATTAAAACATTGCCTATGCAGTGTTAGGAACAGTAAAAACCCTATTAATTCATCAGATTTCTAGTTTGGATGGAATAATTTCTCGTTTTCAAAAAAAAGAAAAAAAAAAAGAAAAAGAAAAAGAAAATAAAAAGTTTAAGAGTTAAAATCGTATTACAAGCATAATGTAAATATGAATATCTGTGTTTACTTTAACTTTAAAAAATATGTAAAATTTAGTTGAAACGATACACATAAAAACTGAATTTTATGTCCATCACCCATTGAAAATGAAATTTTATGCATTTTCTAGATTGCAGTCTTTGCAGATTATTTTTACTTTTATTTATACTTTTTCTAACTTCAAAAACCTATTACACCAAATGAAAACGATGGAAATAAGATATAAGAAACCATAGTGGTTGGTATACTTTGGTATTTTTTATTACATTGACAAATGGTCTATAATTTCATAATATTAGAGAGATTCGAGATAAAAACATAGCATCTCACATAAATGTTATTTATTTGTGTCAATTACAATAAGCATCACTAAAATTGAAAGAGTATTCAAGTGAAGAAAAACAATAAATAAATAATTTTCTTCCAATAATTACAAATCTATGAGTGGACACGAGAAAAAAAAATTATGCCACTTTTGATCTAAGTCATACAAAGCAAGTGTAAGAGAGTTAGTGCTATCGTGAAAGCAACAATGTATAAATCACACTTGGTGAAAATTAGAACAAGAGTGTATGCGGAATACGTTCGGAACATGAGAGCAACACACCTTTAAAAGAATTGTGTGGCTTTACCCTTTGACATCAAACCGCTCTGACACTTAAACATATATTCAAGGAATGAGTGTAGAACGGACTATTTAAAGTCGCCAATCCATTTATTAGATAAACAAAATCACCAAAATTTGGTGATTCGTTGCTGAATATAATGCAATTCCAAGACCTCGGATCGAATAGGTAACTAACCACCTTACTTAGTCTCAAAAACAAAAAAAACAAAAAAAAAATCTCTTTTTGTTGATTTAATTTTTTTAGATGATGAGTTTTAATATTTTTTTATTACATTGATTGTCGATGAATTATATAAATCTTTTGTTTTGTGAAGGCGATCCAACCCTAGTAGAGTTATTTACTCGCATGCATTTCTGACCTTTAACATTGAGGCAAACAGTGGTTTTTTTTTTTTTTTTTTCTATAAGTTAAATTAGTAATGTTATAAAAAATAATAATATAATTTTTAAATGAGATAGTATTTATTTTGGAATGGCAAAACTAAAAGTAAGGGGGAACAAGGAGTATAATACGCACCCCTAATCCCCCTATAGAATGTACTAGCTGAGCTGCGTTTAGGCGTGAGATCCCAAAATGGAAAATGAAAGGCTGCTAACGTTACTTGTTGGGGAATCAGAAAAAGGATGTACTCACAATCGAGGTACTTTAGTAATTTCACCAGAGTGAATGGGATTTTTTCGTAAATAACGTAGCTAACAAAAGTTACAGAAAACTATATGACCACGTGTCACTATAAGATGGCGAGTGTAGTGCGCACCATTACCCTCACCCATCGCTCTCCTTCCCCAACCTTAACAGTCCCACACTCTCCCCCACCTCTCTCTCTCTCCACGCTCACTTTCTCTCTCTACAACTCTATTTTTATCTTTGTTGCTTTCAGTTTCATCCCCCATCACTGTTTCTCTCTTTAGCTTCACTTTCAACTTACCAGTGAACCCCCTCTACTCCATAAATAGCCTGAACTACACACACTATCCTCTCACTCCAACACACCTTTAAACCCAAAGAAATATTGGATTTCTATAATTCGCATACATATAATCATATATATATATGTGTGTGTGTTTATATACATATACATTTGTAAGTTTGAATGACCTTTGAGTTTTGAAAATGGATCCTCCAATAATCAATGAAACTTCGTTCTCGGCGGCGAATCCTTCGTCGTACAGTTTGACTGAGATTTGGCCGTTTTCGATCAACGGCAACGGCGGGGTAGGTGAACCGAGTGGAGGTTTAGGTTTGAGAATGAGCAATTTGAGTGGATTTGCGGAGGCATCATTGAATCGAGATGTTTCTGTCGACGAATCGACGGTGACGGAGCAGAGTGGGAGTAGAGGTGGTGGCAATGGTGGTGGGAGGAAGCGGAGGGATGCCAATTCAGAGGATGAATCTTCGAAGATTGTTTCCACCAGCAGTGGCAATCATTTGGTAATTCACTTTGTTTTTTCAGTTTTAGTAATTTTCTTTTTCTGTACATTTACTCATATGTTATTTTAAGATTTTTTGGTCAATTGTTAACCTTCATTATCTCATTCTATTGAATTTCAGCAATTGATTTGGTAGTTGATATGTGTGTATGTGTATGTTACAGTTAACCTTGATTTGTTCTTTCTTTTTTGTTGTTTCTATCCTTGCTATATTTAGGCTGATTTATATGTTAGTGAAATTTTTTTTTTTTTTTTTTTGTAAATTTCCATGTGGTTTCTTTTTTCTTTTACTTAATTATTACCTTCCTTTGGTAGTTAATATCTTATTTAGGCCTTTTCTGCTGAATTTGAACATCATATTCTCTATTGTCTTCCCACTAAGTTTTCCTTTTTAGTAATTGAAATGGGTATTGTTAATTGATTTTTATACTGTAGTATATTAAAACTTTGATCTGAATATTACTCCTTGCTATTATTTTCTTGGTGTTTTTCTCTTGAAATTTGAGATATGTCATAACCTTTTAGAACTAGGGTCCAGCTTGAATTGGTTTCTTATTTATTGTTTTTGGATAGAATGATTCCAATGGTAAACGGATGAAAAAAATATTGGGATCCAAAGAGGAAAATGGTGCTTCAAAATCTGAAGTGGAAGGGAGTTCAGGGGCGGGGAACAAGCCAGCTGAACAAAGCACGAAACCTTCTGAGCCGCCTAAGCAAGATTATATCCATGTGAGAGCAAGAAGGGGTCAAGCTACTGATAGCCACAGTCTGGCAGAGAGAGTAATTCTCTTTAAACCTCTCAAATTTTCAATTTCTAGTTGTTCCTTTATCCACTGACTTTTGAAACATGTTGCTGATTTGCCAGGCCAGGAGAGAAAAAATTAGTGAGAGGATGAAGATTCTGCAAGATTTGGTCCCTGGATGTAATAAGGTTGTGCTATTTTTGCTGTTGATACTGCTTTCACTAATTATAATCTAAGCAAAGGAAAGTTTCTGCCCAAATTACATCATTGAGAAATACTTTGAGAAATACTTAATATCTGTTGTTTGAAATTAGAAATCCAGTTGTCCAAAATATAGTAGCATGTTACCTGAACTCTTGTTTCAATTTCTTTATGATGTTGTAATCTTTCCATGCTTTATTTACATAATTTTCATTTGGTCAGATTATTGGGAAAGCACTTGTCCTTGATGAGATAATTAATTACATCCAGTCATTACAGCGTCAGGTTGAGGTAACTACCCTTATCTTGCCTTGGTTATTGCCATTTTACAACATTATTGGCCTTTACACTGTTGAAGCTGATCATTTGCTTTATAAATCTGATGTTGTAGTTCTTGTCAATGAAGCTTGAAGCAGTTAATTCGAGGATGAACCCCAGTATTGAAAGTTTTCCTTCAAAAGAAGTAAGTCTATGAGCACTGACTGTTTACTTAGTTCAGAAGAAGTAACCTCACTGTCTTTTGGTTGTAATCCAATAATTGAGGGTCTTTCTCTGTCTGTCTCTCTCTCTCTCTCACACACACACACACATATATATAGATACACACATATATATTGATATACATAACAAGGAAAATTAAGCGGCAAATGTAAATTTGTTCTGTAATAATAGAAAATATATCTCTTGTTGTTCTTTTAATTTTAATTTTAATTTTAATTTATAGATATAGTTTCATTCTTTTTTGATAAGTATAGATTTAATTTAATTCTTCTAGGCACATTCACCTATATTTTCTTTGTTTAATTTTTTGGTTATTCCTTAATACTAGACCATATATATAGATTGTCTCATTGCATGTTGTTTATCTTATCTATATACAACACACAGTCCGTATTTTCTATTTGGAATAACTATTGATAGTTTGTTTAAATACTAGTAGAAAATATATGGCTTTTTGTTTATGTTGCTTCTGTTTATAAAGTATTTGGAAGATATTGGTAGATATTTATTTGTATGTAGGCATAGTTAGGTTTAGTTGTTAGGTTAAGAGAAAAGGAGAACTACATTATAAAGTAGGTATTTGATTTTTCCACCGTTCGTTAAAAAAAAAATCCCACCGTAAAGGTATGCAGTGGTGATATCGATGTACCAATCCACCAACCACTCCTTTCTTTCTCCACCCACTACACAACTTCTACCACCATCCACCCCTTCTCCCTCTCCTCCACCCACCACTACAATCTCCACCACTGCCTACCCTTTCTCTCTCTGCCGACCACACAACCTCCACCACCACCCGCCCCTTCTCTCTCTCTCTCTCTCTCTCTCTCTCGCTCTCGCTCTCGCTCGATATATATTTATACATATAGCTCTGTACATCCAATTCACCAATTGGCCTTTTATGCAGAAACACCACCACCACTCTTGCTAACCCTTGCATAACAAAATAAAGATTCTAGGGTTTTTTCTTCAAAATTCATCCTTGGCGCCAAATAGATGCTAGTACCCAAAAATCTAGGATTTCTGAGCATCCAATTGGCATTCGCTTTGAGTATTGGCCTTGTAATTCGCAAGTAGTGGAAGTATGCAATGGTGAGGAATGGCAAGGCCGATAAACTACTTTATAATCTAGAATATAAATAGGTTGATGAGAAATGACAAGGCCTATTAACCTGTTGTGTTTGTTTTAGATATGACCCATTAGATTAAGCATCCTATTGGTGTTCGTTTATAACCATATTAGACCCTTTTAACTAAATGTGTCCAGTAAACTTGACATGTTCATGTTAGAAATGACTCTAATAGTATGAAATTTTAATTAAACGTGTATCATGGCGTGTTAAGTCTTGACCCATTTATTAAATAGGTTACGTAGGTCGTTTCATGCTACCTGTCGAATAATCATGTCGTGTTCGAGTCAAGATTCCTTGACACGGAACAATAATTGTATCGTGTTCGTGTCGATCCATCGGGATACCCATATACTGACACAATAAGTATGACGCGGAAACACGTATTGTCACCCCCTTGTCCAACTAGCAGCAGAGGGTGTCAGTGTATAGCGAAACATCCGCCGTGGTTGGGGGGGGGGGGGGGGGGGTATAGTGAATATAATGACACGATACGAGTACGACACGGAAACACGAATTGTCGCCCCTTGTCCAACTAACAACAGTGGGTGTCAACATATTGTGAAACTTCCGTTGCCAGGGAGAAAGACTTCCTTGCACTTTTAATACTTCGTTATCTGTGCCATCAACCAATTGCATCATGTCAAATAAGTAAAAGTGCTTTATTTTAGTGGGTTCTATCACTACCATGTCATCACTACAACCGGCTCAATTAAGTTTTTCTTGTTGCCACGGGGGGATAAAGGGTATCCTAGGAATTAAGACGAATCTCAAGGGTTGTAAGTATAATTTACCCAAAAATTAAATATAATAAGAGACATGACTTGTAATAGAAAATAATGAAAAAAGAGAATTCATGTGGCCAACCACATTGAATCAAGGATGATGACGGTGATAGATGTAGTTCCATTAGCTAGTAGATTTGGATGTTACAAGATTTATTTCGCAAAACTTATCAAAGTTCGTCGATGTCCATGATTCTGAGTACCTAGTTTTTCTTTTTTTTTTCTTTTTTTCACTTTTCTATTTAACTTATAACAAGCTGCTTCATAGCGGTCTTCCCCCCTTCCTACTATTATAGTTAAAATAGAAAGAAAAGAAACCTAAAGAGCTTTTACAAGATGGGCTCTTTCCATTTAACAGGTCAGTCGGACTTGGGTTTGCTAGAGTGAAGTTATTGTACTTGCTGATTTGTGCTTTACAAGACACGTGAGAAACTTGAAGGTTGTCTTAAGGAGTTTTCAATGTATAGTACTTGTAACTGACAATTTCTCTACTTGCAGTGGGAACACTGCCATGCATGCAACAACAAAAGCTAGTAACAACTCTGCTCATAAAGATTCTTAATATACAGAAGGAGGTATTGAAATGGTATTACTGAGCCCTTAGGTTTAAGTGAGAATGGTAGCTTGTTTTTGAAGTATAATCAAAGAATTGGCTCACTCTATATTATTTTTGAGTGTCAATAAACTTGTTGGAACGGGGGCTATTGCTGGGTTCTCAACGCTTGAGCATCGGTACCATTGGCGCAACACTCCAGCATCGGTACCATTGGTGCAAGTTTGAGTCTCAGAGTAGTCACTTTGTGAAGTACGAAATGTTCGGTCTGTCTCGAGTCCTCCCTTCTTAGGACCTTGATAGTAATGCCCTTTTGATAAGTTTATTTGGAATATTTTGAGCAAGCCTCTTTCACTTTTACTTTTCCAAAGTTTACAAAGTAGTCCCAAATCTCCATTGTCAAATGAATCTTGCTTTATTAATGAGCTTTCTCCAATCTATGCAGTTCAGAGTAGGACCTCATTATTACATCTCTGATATTATTTTAGAATTAAGATGGAAAATCAAATCTCTCTGGGGAGATACTTAACGATATTCACAAGATGCTCTCTAAGACCTTACTTCTGGTCCTATTTCATTACTACTTAATGGTATGCATAAAATCAAAATAATTATGTAAATATTTGAAGATATTAACATACAAAAACATGACTTCATTGTATACGTCAGACTTCTCTTAAACAATCTTGCTTCCCCAAGTTGTCTGTTTGTCTTTTAAGCAATTTTTTCCATTTGAGTTTCTCGAATTTATTCTTGACATATAGTCCATTCAGATTTCAAAGTTTTGAATCTTTGTGATTTTCAAAGTGAATCTCTAAATTCGCCAAATTAGGTTTCATATGCAAAATATCCATGATTTTGTACCATTTTCCCCTGTCCAAAAGTGCATAAATTCTTGCAAATGTTACATTTAGAAACTGGTAAGAATGATTAACCACGTGTTCTTTTCTTTCTTTTTCTAGATTTCGATTTACTGCTGTCTTCACCTTTATTATGTGCTTGGAAGAAGTGGTGTTGTGGTCCTTGGAATCTCTCTCTCTCTCTCTTTCTCTCTCTCTCTCAGATTGTCCATATATTCCAGTTGCCCCTGATCTGAATATTAAAATTTGGTAAATACACGTAGATTAATACTTAATGCAACTCAAGTAAGCGTTATTTTCATTTTCATGGGTTTGACTACTTGATGTGGCACTTGCTAAGGCCATATTTTTGGTTAAATCACAGGTCATTCACATCCTCTCTAATTTGGCTTGTATTTCTTTGGTTTTTGAGGTGTTATCTAGAGCTTTCAATCTGACCATTATCCTCTTTATTGGTCGACTGTTGGCCTTTAAGAAAAACTCCGCCACTAATTCACACACTGGTGCTAACTCTTGGTTCTTATAATTGCATTTAAATCTTTTTTGTTCTTCCTGGGGTTAATTTCACTGACACTTTGGCCATTTATCACATTGAAACACCTTTCAAAAAATACTATTACTCACACCCCCAAATCACCTTTTTGTCACTAATACCGTCAAAATGGGTGTGAAATGACATTTTTACCTTCAATTTTTTAAATGCCTTTTAATATAAAACATCATAATTTTATAAGGACAAAATTACGCCTATCAATTATCCAACTACACCAACATAATTGTAAATATATGAAGAATTAGGGTGTATGTGTGTGTGTGTGTATATATATAAAGAATTAGTGTGTGTATATGAAGAATTAGTGTGTGTATATATATATATATATATATGAAGAATTAGTGTGTGAAGAATTAAGCGATCTATTTTATGGGTTTTATTTATATATTTTCTGGATTATATTTATCTATTTTCTGGATTTTAACGAAATTATTGTAAAATTATACATATAGATATATACCCACACATATTCTAATGGGTATTTTGGTCACTTAACATGGTCCAATGGGGGTAAAAATATCATTTTATACATCAAACAACCCTTTAGTAAGTCAACACACAGTCAAAGGGGGTAATAATGTTGTTTGACACATCTGAAAATTAACTTTTGGAGTATGAGTGAAAAACGGACCAACCGTTTATAATGTGAGTGAGTTATTTTCAAAAGGTGTTTCAATGTCATATTTGGCCAAACCTGAGGGGTGCCAGTGTAATTTACCCATTCTTCCTGCCATGATATCATTCATCTCAATATCCTTGGTCTTATAAGCAGAATTGTTTTAAAATTATTCCTAATAATTGTATAGTGTATTTTTTTTTTGTAATTTAAAAATATTCCTAAAGGAGTTGTTCTAATGAACTACTTATTGTTTTAGAATAATGTTGGTGCTTTCTTGTTATATATCATTCATCGGACTTATTTGGTGTTGCAGCTTGGAGCACCGTCATATGCTACCGGGATGATTTTTGGATCACAAGCAACAAGGGAATATGGTCAAGGATCGCAACCCGAGTGGCTTCATATGCAGGTTGGTGGTAGCTTTGGTAGTGCCACATGATTTGTGTACCTCACTAATTGGCAGCTAGGAAACCAAGCAGCATATTATTCAGTTAATCATAATTAATCAGAAGGGACATCTGTCACTGGTTTCTACATCTAGTGCAGATCTTTCCTATATATATATATGACCATTTGTAATCATGAAATACTGTTCTATAGAAAATTGCATTTGTATAATCTAACTTAATTATCTGTATTTTGTTGTATTAGTATCTAAAAACAGTCTTAATGTGAATTTAGTACTTGTACTCGGAGAACTGCTTTTCAGAATTCATATTCTCCTCCTCTTCATTGTCTTGTTATGTTATCAGTTTTTATATGAATTCCAGAGCTAAAATGGAATGATTATGAAACAACTTTTAATTATCACCGGATAATGTTAACAAAGTGTGAATCGATTTTGTTTCTTTGAAAATTTCAAATCCCGGGTAATAAGTGACCCTTCAAATTTTCCTGTAGAATGAATCAAAGACGATTAGTTTGAATGCATTATATGCTCTTTGTTCCTTTCCCAGGAACTACTCTGAATCAGTGAGTGACTTATTTAACATGCCTTAGTAGTTACCAATAACAAACCCTATTCATAGTTGAAAATTGCAATCATACATTTGATTTTAGAAGTTTACCAGAGAACCTCCTCTTTCCTGTATTATTAATATTTATACAATAACAGCTGCAGCAAATTACATTTTTGCCATTTAAAAACCAAGTTTTAAGAACCAAACTTGGTTTTTATGCCATTGATAACCTCTTCTTCCACTTGAAAAGCTTTAGTCAAAACATCATTTGGAATTGAAGGTGTTGAAGCAAAGAGAGTCGTAGGAAGAACATTAGACCCAGGTAACTGACTGTTGAAAGCCGTAAACGCCAGGGCCTTCCCTTCTCCGACGTTCATCTGAAAGTGCACGAGTCCCTTAGGAATCACAAACATCTGCCCAGCAGTCAAAACTTTAGAGTGAAACACATTCCCAGTTGTCACAAACCCTACGAGGACTTTACCCTCGATGATCACCCCGGACTCTGTTGATCGAGGGTGTGAGTGGGGCGGGTTGATTCCTCCAGGCGCATAGTCGACTCGATTCATTGATATTCCAAGAGTATTAAGGCCAGGAAATGCGAGAACATTTCCAGCCGTCACAGTCGCACCAAAAACGTTACTTGTGTTCCCCTCTTTGCTCAACCCATCGAAAAAGAAGTCATCTGAACTCACTTCCGAGGCAGGTTTGCAGGGAAAGCCACCAACAGAAGGAGAAGCTTTCAAGTCTGCAACGCAGAAGTCCTGTAACGAATCAGGATCAGCAGAACACGAAGGCATGGGTAGAAGAAGCAACATGGCTATCAAACAGATTATTGGCGGGATGCGTAAACTTGATATATTGGTCATGGCAGCTCTGTCTAGTTTTCTGGACTGATAAGCAATTGAAGATAGTTTTCTTCACAATGTAATTGATGGGACCATTGTTTCTATTTATTGCTTTTGCTTTATTGAAAAGTTCCTCTTGAAAAGTAGATAAATGGATAAGAAAAGCAGTTGGTTGAGATTAGTAGGTCTCACAGTTGGACTTTGGGGGCACAAAAGAACAGCGTGCTTAGGGAGGCAATGTTGAAGAGTTGACATGGTCAATTTTTTTTATTTTTTATTTTTTGGCAAGTGACGAGAGCGGTTTTACCCTAATTAGTCTTGGTAAAAAATGTCATAAATCATAAAGAAAGACCAACTATAGGAAAGAAAGGCTACAGTATTATAATGCAAATGCACTTTTGGTATTTTTAAATTGGTTGGAGGATTGAGTTTTAAGGGCGAGGCGAACGTTGACACAATAATAAGAGGTTGATCTGTCACGCATTTGGAGCAAGAAAATGTTGCCTATTGAGTTTTGACTTTTTTTGCAAGATTGAGTTGTCACACCTGAGAAATCATCCATTGCATTCGTACCGTTATCATGAATTTGACAATGACAAACAAACAACCTCAGTGTTTGACTTGTGGAAAATTCAGTGTTTTGTCCATTTTATTGGGGAACCTATTTGCGAGACAGAATGATACATTTACAAGAGCTTTCCTCTCGAAAGGACACTATTAGACAAGTACAAAATAAAGAAATGTAGCATACAAAATAACTATGTTGAAATGGCATACCCTCCAATTGATCTGTAAAATTACACATCTGAAACTCAAAGGCACGAATCCTCCAATTCCAGAACATGAAAGCATGGAAACAACTTTTGAATAGTACCAAATTTCAAGTTTGCAAGCCCCTCTCAATTACGCATCAGAGAAGCGCGATAACGGGTTCTAATCCAAGGGCAACCATTGTGCAAATAAGGTCGAACGTTCAAGTCCATACCTAGTTCACCTCCCAGCATCCCTAATTAAAGGGAACAAATTTTGGGTATGGCTTTTTCTGAATCCATATCGACATTTTGCTGTTCCTCTAATAGGCAAAGTTTGTGAACATACAATCAATGTTATCTTAGGAATAGCAAAAGTAAAAATCTACCGATCCCCATGATAGCACAGGCTAAAACAGAGTTACAAATCCTTTCAACAGCTCAGAGGCTGACAAACTACTAAAATCCGCCAACCGCATTGTTAGAAGTCGGTTCTGCTTGTCCTCAGAAAGCACTTTAATGGGTTGAATGAAAAGAAGAGATTTTTCTCAGTGAAACTTCTCCAAGGCAGCAGGGGTAATGGGGATCACACCGGATGGAGATACAAGAGCATCCACCGGAACATCACTGGGAGTGACTGGTATAACTCCCTCATCCATTATCTGCACCGAATAAGACAGGGCAACTGCAAACAAGAGCCAAACACATTACTAGACGGAAAACAAGAGAATGCATCCGACTATATTAAGGGGTTGATTCTTCTTATAGAAGCAGCAGAACGATACATACCAAGGAGAGGTTTCTTCCATTTACGCTCATTTGCAAGCTCTTGGTATTTCATTAGGAAGGTATCATAATAACTTTTGACGTATCACCAAATATGTCAACATGTACAATGGAAAATCAAAGCAAGATGTTAATGACTATGGATAAAACATTGAAAAAATTTAATACGCACACATGGTTACACAATTTCGTGATCACAGCTAAAGAGAAGCAAAAAGCTGGTTCGTTTGAGTAAATAATATTCATAAAAGAATACTTCTCTCCTCCCTCAAAGGGGAGGTGAGGGGTTCGAGACCCATAGTCGGCATTTGTGGGTGTGTGTGAGTATTTACCTAACAAAAAGAAGAAAAAAAATTATTTATCAAAAAACACAACTCACAAAAGAATACTAATATGGTAGATGAAACAGAAAAGTTTGTTAACAATAATGAGCAGCTCAATCCGGTGCTACTTCAGAGACCGAACTCAAATATATATATATTGGTAAGTCTGGACTCAGATTTTAATTAGGTCAAGATGCATAAACCTACCCTCCACCACGGCCCAAGCGTCTTCCAGTTTTGTCAAATGCAAGTCCTGCAAACAGAGTCAAGACAAATGTGATCTAACGGTTCTTGCTTCCAACTTGGAACTTGTTCAGTTAATTAAGAGATCGGGACAGAATTATTTACCAGGTAATAGGAGCAAATCTACTGGATCATTTGCCAACATAACTGCAAGAAAATAAAGGAGATCGAATGATATTTTTTGCCTAAGAGGACTGGAAAAGTTTGCCAAAATAAGTGAATAAGAGAAAAAGAAATGAGATGACATCATGTGAACCCCACCCGAGCTTCATTCGGCATGAGACAGCAGCATATTTCTTCGGCTAGTGTATGCTATTACTAAGGAAAACCATTAGATTCTTAGAAGTAGTTAATCTACCACCCCCTTTCAGCAGTTACCGACATATAGTAATTGGTACAAATTCCAAGGGAAAAAGATGTAAACAAATACAAATCCTAATCTAAACCACAAATGTAGTTATAAGAAATTTAAATTTTTACTTTGCTGAGGAGAATGCTTCATAACAAGTAGGATGGGGTTTGTACCATGAGGTGAAGAGAGTTTTGAAGCTCCTAAGAAAGTATAGAAATATCGTCTTAATATACTTCACGAGTCTTGGTTTGCCTTGATGCACTAAAAGATAAGATTTTCAACTCCCAAAGACTGAAGAATATTTCTATTAGCTTGTTCATTTTCTTTCTTTAATAAATACAATTAGCAAACTGAGACTGACATTCTGATACCGAATCTGCTACTGTCTATCCCTCTCTCGCATTTCTGGGCAAATATGTAAAGCACATCCTACAAAATAATGTTATACTCCATGGTATTTTGTCCAAAATCAGGGACAAACAAATCAATAGCATTGTATAACCACTGTTCGTCATTATTACTCAAGAACTCTGATAAAATCCAGCAGACACAATAGTAAGTTTTTTTAAAAATAAAAAATAAAAACTGTAAAGTTGTGAGACAATAGATTCAATCAATTTGAGTTCCAGAACACTTAACAACGATAGAATTTAGCTCCCATCCTGTTTTTGACAATCCAGGGGAGCCTTAAAAAGTGCAGGACATGATGGGAAACAGAGGCAACCGGTAGATCAAGTTCAGCTAAAATAGAGGAACTCAATGTTTCGTCTAAGTTCCTATTGCAACACAAAGGGAAATCAGAAAGTTACCGTCTTCACGTTCCTTTCCCTCGGCATCTACTGGAGCTGGTTCTAAGATGTCCATTGAATTAGCAATTAAATCGTCAATACTTGAGATGTGGAGCATTCGCATGTGGCAATTCCGGTCCTCCACCCGCGGCACATAGAGCGTTTTTCCCATCTGCGAATGACCATCTTCAGTTGAAAATGATTTGTAAGAATTACAATCAAAGAACAAAATACATGTTAAGTTTCGAAGTACAAAATAAATAATTGATTTACCAAGATATCTATTGGAAGAACAGTTACAAACTGCCACTTACATGGAAAAGGTTGCAAAGACACTTTTAAACAAAATTTAAAAATCTGTCTCACATTAATAACCCTATCCAAGACCAAGGTAAAGTTAACCAGCACACACACAAATTAAAAAAACTTTGGAGAATAAATCCAAAAATATCCCTCTAAGAAATTCCCTAAAGAAGAACAATCATGTGACAACCATGCTCCATTATATGTCAAGATTTCATAGCCCATGATTTTACTACTCAGGCTGTGTTATATACCAATCACCAATACATCGCAGGATTCTATCATGACATGAGCTTTTGCCTATATTTTTCATTAGAGATTACAATTCGGAGAGTTGGAATCCTATTCTAACTAAGGATTCTTGTGGTTGCGAAGGATCGAACGGAGAGCTTTTCACCCTTTTCCGCCCGACTCTTTGGTCTCGTTTTAAGGAGTGATTGCCCTTTTTCGACCCTTACTGCCCAAAGTGAGAGTGGACAGCTAATGCATTCCACTTATTGAACAGGGTTCTATGGTCGGTCTATGACCACTGGATGCCGAAGGCGTCCTTGGGGTGATCTCGTAACAGTTTTTGAAAACTGTTTAATGAAAATACAGTTAAAAAGAAGGTTTGTTTTCGGATTAATTGTCTTTATCTAAAAACATTTTTTTTTCTGTTTTCTTGAATTCTTGAGAACCAATTCATAGTTGTTAGAGGCTTAAGGCGCACTAAGGCGCCAAATGTCTTCTGGAGCCTAAGCGTAAGGCACAATATAAGGTGCGAGCCTAATCGAAGTACGCGTGTATATAATAATGCATATTTAAATACAGTATATATTTATAATCAAACAGTAATTGCAGTGAATGTAAGTAATGAACTATAAAGTTATGAACTTTGTCAAATATTTCATACAACAAGATATATGATATAGAACCTTTTAATTATCTAGTCATCAAGTAAAAAAGAAAATGATAAGAATAAATTGATTAAAAAATACAAGGCGCACCCTTATTTTAGCTTGGAGCCTAATAAAAAGTGTGAGTCTCAGGACTTTATGTGAGCCTGATTGAAGGAGGGGCGACGCATAGTAGATTGAGGTGCTCTAACCAAGCCTTGACGAGCGTGTGGCTTTTTTGGTTTAACAACTATGCAACCAAACAAGCCGAACAAATTTGCAGAATCCCCATTTGGGTAATAGATAAAAATAAGCAGTGAAGGCTACAAATAGAAAACAGAACTCACCTTTTGCTTTGTTCTGTAGAATTTCAGACAACACTTTTGATGTGTCAACTTCTCGCAAAGCACTACAGCTTATATAAGCACACAGTCTCTTACAAGACCTAAACCATGGAGCTCCCAGAACAACACTCTGAATTGCATTATCTGACCAAAAAGAAGCAAATGGGTATAAATCTTTCGCACCAAAATGCTAAACACTATATATATATATATATATATATATATACATATATATAAAAGTGACAATATATCCTATACAAAACAAATAATATCATCAACAAATATGTATATGTAAATATATAGATTGAGTACCTTCTTGGGATCTTTGGATAGGGTCCATACCCTTGAGATCCTTCTTGACTTTGGATCGGAGGACCCGTTTTTGCTTGAAAACGGCATCGAGATGAGAGGTTGTGGTTGTGGTTGTGGTTGTGCTCTGCTCTGGATTGTTCATTGTGGTGGTGGAAAGAGATGCGTAGAAGGGCGGAGGGCGTACGATAGCGGAGCGGGTGAAGAAGAGTGAGTGAGACGCGGCCGCTGTTGCTATCGTGCACGGGTGGATCATCAGCACCGCGACCTCAATCGCCCTTTGTCTAAAGCCCATGTGTCGTCCTCATTTTAGAGTGTTATTAAAATAATTATAAAATAGTCCATGCCTTGTCTTTGTGTATTGTGGCATTAAAGTAATTAAAATAAGGGTTAATTTCAATGACACCCCAGTAGTTTGGCCAAATATCAGTTTAAAATATTTTTTAAAAATAACTATCAGTTAGGTCCAATTTCGCTTTTCCGTCACTAGCTCCGTTAAAAACGTGGGAAAAGACATATTTGCCCTTAATTTTTAATCAGATTTAATACAAAATATTAGATAAGGTAAATGACTTTTATACCCCTCATTAAACTCTCACCTATCCACTCTCCCGCCAATACACAAAGACACTTTATCTCTCCTCTATATCTAGCTGTATCTGACGCTTGTCTATCTCTCTCTCTTCTCTACAGATCAAAACCACTCTCTCATTTCTCTACAGATGAAAACCATTCTTTATTTTCTCTACAGATCAAAACCACACTCTCTCTTCTCTACAGATGCGACCCATAGATTAACAAAAGCATGAAACCCTAGCTAGTTTCAGAGTCGTAGTTCCAGAGCCATATACCTTTCATCCAACTGTGTACCGCCGATCAAGTCCATTTCAGGTCTTTTTCATGTACAATTGACCCATTTCAGAGTCATTTGCACGTTAATCTCAGGTTTTGTTTTTTTTTTCCAAGAACCCTAATCTAATCATTGCTATGTTATTGTTTTGTTTTCTGCATGTTATTGTTTTCTTTTTTGCATGTTATTATGCAATTAAGATCTTCTTTTTTCGTGGAATAAGATGGTGTAATTAACCTTAATTCTAGCAAAACCCCCATAATTAATTAGGGTTAATTGATGGGGCTTTTGCTGGATTAACCCTGCTTTAGGTTAATTATCTCTGAAATCACCCAAAATTAGGGTTTATTAACCCAAATTTTAGGTCATTTTAGGGTTTACATTTGGGTTTACTTTTAACATATTTATTTTTGTTAGATTAAGGTTTGTTGATTGTTAGCAATTACTTTTACCATTCTTTATTTTGGCTATTAGCAATTAGTTTTGTTTGTTAGCATGATTATTTGTTTTTTATTTTATTTTTTATTGGCAGATTCAAATGGCATCTAATACTTTGCATGATATCATTGTTCACTATGAGGGACACATATATGTCATAGGGAACATTAATCCTGATAAGTATAGTTATTTGTCACCGAATACTCATGTTACCTACTTGCTACATGATGAAGTGTGTCATGAGAAAGGTTCTATGGCATTTAATATTTATTTTCAAATTCCTGATTGTACTGATAGAATATTGCTAGAACTAGACGAAGATGTAATTATCATGTTTGAGTTGATGAAGGGCTGTAAGGATATAAATGTATTTGTTGAAATTGCTCAGTATTATTTAGCTTCTTGTAGTAATGGTGCAGGCTCTAGTAATGCCTTTGAGGTGGGAGGAGACAGTGATGTTGAGGAAGTCATTCCAAATGAAACAGTGATGTCAAATGAGGGGAGTGATGAGGAGAGGAATGATGAGATGAATGATGATAGGAATGATGAGGGGAGTGATGGTGGTGAAGGAGATTCTCAGTATAGTTTTTCTGACAGTGATGATGAAGAGTAGACTGGTGTTCATGAGGGAGGGGAGCTAATAATTTGGGAGATGACAATTTGGATAATATTGAGTTGGAGAAGGAGACTTCAGACCATAGTGATGGTGAGTTTTCTGATTATAGTGAGGATTACGATTTCAGTGGAGAAAGTGAAAGTGAGGAAGAAAGAGAGACATGTGAGAGTCAAAGTGGAAAAAATAAAATTAGAAACAGAAAATATAGAAATATAACTATGAAGTATTTACACAGAGCTTTGAAGGGAAAGCCATTTAAATATGGTGAGGGTGGTAAAATTGTATTTGAGAAGTACCATCTCTTTGATAGTATCCACCACTTCAGAGATGTCTTGGTAGAATATTCTATTCAAAAATGTTTTAAACTTGTGAGGGAAAAAAATGAAAGGAAAGAACTACCTGACACTGTGGGAATGCAGGCTGCAATTGGGGAATTCATGCAATCCTATTACTTGACAAAATGTGTTTTATAAGAAAAAGAGTTGGCCCAGAACATTGCTGCATCAGAACATTTAAGAACAAAGGTGTGACTTCTACATTTATAGCAAAAAACCTTCTAGACAGGTTCAAAAAAAATCCTGACATTTCAATAAAGGATTTGAAACAAGAAGTTGGAGAGAAATTTCTTACAGTTATTACTGGTATGAGTTGTTGGAGGGCTAAAAAGAAAGCAAAAGAGGAGATTGAAGGGAGTCATACTGAGTCATATGGAAAGCTATGGAAGTTTGCAGCTGAGGTGATGAAAACAAATCCAGCTAGTTTATTGTTCATACGGAAAAATGCAGATGAGCCTCAAAGATTTAAGAGAATTTTTTAATCATTTGCTGCATGTCAGAATGGGTTTGTTAATGGGTGCAGACCATTTATTGGTATTGATGGATGTTTCTTGAAGGGACCTTTTGGGGGTACTTTACTTAGTGCTATAGGACTTGATGGAAATAATGGGTTGTATCCATTTGCTGTTGCCATTGTTGAATCTGAAGGAAATGACAGTTGGAAATGGTTTTTAGATCACCTGCACAAGTTCCTTGGTGATACAGCTGGAGCTATTCCTTGGACCTTTATGTCAGATGGGCAAAAGGGAATTTTGGGAGCTATTTCTGATATTTTTCCATAGGCACTAACTAGGAGATGTTGCAGGCATATCTATGCCAATTTTAGGACAAAATATCCTGGTCTGAAATATAAAAGTTTATTCTGGGCAGCTGTTAATGCATATAATCAATTAGAATTCAAATCTGCAATGGGGCAACTGTAGGCAATCACCAACAATCATGTGGAGTCATTTAATTCTTGGCTTGGGAATATCAGACAAAAACCAATCACTGGAATTCTGGAAAGCATAGCAAAAAAGCTGATGTCCAAGTTTGGTAAAATATTTCAAAGGATAGTAGAGTGGACAAATACAATAGTGCCAAAAGCTAGGAACAAATTGAATTCTAACATCTCTAAAGCTGCTACATGTGAACTGATTTGGCCTGGTGGGAATTTGTATCAAATTACACAAATGGATACACACGTCTTATATTGTGAACCTAGGTGAGATGAGTTGCTGTTGTGGGGAATGGCAAGTGTCTGGAGTGCCTTGCAAGCATGCATGTGCAGCTATTACACACATAAGGCATGATTTTGAGAGTTTTTGTTCAGATTTTTACAGCAAGAGTACATATGCAAAGACTTACAGTACTTTTATACACCCACTGCACTATGACACTATGTGGACTGAGGTTGACAAAGCACCATTAGAGCCACCAGTTCTCAAAAGACCAATAGGCAGACCTAGAGTGAAAAGAAAGAGGGAAGTTGGTGAACCAGAAGCAACTAGAAGGTCAAGTGTTATCACTTGCAGCATATATGGTGTGTTTGGACACAACAAGAGGGGATGTGAAAAGGCTCATACTGCAGCACAAGTGAAAGCAGCAAAAGCAAATGCAACAACAAGCCCATTATCATCAACAGCCTCAACAGTAAGGAGGAGGAAAAGTGTACCAAGAAGATCAAGAAGGATTGGAGCAGCAGCACAAGGTTTTTAGGTATTTAATTCATCTCTTAAAGTTTTGATTTATATTGTAAAACTTTTTTTTATTTCAGTTTATATTTATATTGTGAACCTTTGTTTCATTTCAGGGTTCAAGAAGTATGGCAGCAGAAACAGCAGCAACAACACCAATAACACAAGGCACTCAGGTATATAATTCATATATGTTTGGTATTATTCATTTTAACAGGTATAGGTATAAATTATGAAGCTTTGTTTTCATTTAAGGATTCAACAAATAGGGCAACAGAAACAGTAGCATCACCACCAACAGCACAAGGCACTCAGGTATATTATTCATATTTGTCTGAGATTATTCATTTAACAAAATAATTTATAAAGTTTTGTGCATTTCAGTTTATGTTTATATTTATGTCCTTGTTATTCAGGGTTCAACTTTAATATTTATGGAACCAGCAAGAGCAACATAAGGCATTTAGACTCCATGTTGCACCACTCTACCTCCTACAACAGGAATTATGACATAGTCTATGGTAAACATGACTTTTTACACAGTGCTAACATAATTTTTTGCACAGGCTAAATTTCACACACAACACAGTTTTTTAGGTTATGCAAGTAGATATGGGGGATACTTTTGGGTTATGCAAGTAATGATATGTAATGGGGAATACCTTTTTGGTTATTTTGAAAGTTTTGTAATGAATTTGAAGAGATATTTAAACTTAGCTATGTGGCTGTTGGTAATGGATTTGAAGGGATGTATTTTTTGGCTTTTAAAGTTTGTGATATTTGATGGATTATATTTTGATCTGAAAAATGGTTTTGACTTAGTTAAAGGCCGTATGCATGCTTTGATATTGTAGTTGTGTTGCATTACTATATACTGATTATAATAGAACACTAATTATTTTATTTAGATAGAAAGGCAATGAACATTGTTAGGACAGCTATAATACAAATGCCCATGCTTGCATACACAATTGACCTCATCAAAGATATTAAACCATCTATAATGTCATTCCTGATTCCATCATTGACATTAGCAGCATTCACATCAGGTGCAAGTACATCCTCAAGACTCAACCATCTGAAGTATGCGCATCTTCCATTATAACAATTGTAGAAGTGTCTTCCAGGATTTTTGTCTGAATGAGATACCCTCAATGCTGCTCTTCTTCCACATGAACATATTTTAGTTCTGAACATTGGCAACACACACTTGATTGCCCCTGTTTACTTGAAAATATACATGTTACGGGTTAAAAAATATTGGCATTGGCAATTACATATTCAAAAATATAATTTGTAATTACAGGTTAAAAATATTTTTCAAAATATCACCCTCAAATTTAAATACATTTTTTTTCCACATTTATGAGGTTCAAATCAACAAACAATTATAAAGGAATTACTTGTAAAAAAAAATTGTAATTACATGTTACAAACAAAATTACAATTTCACAAAAAATTTCTTACCAAATGCACACCTTATTCCTTTCTTTGGAGCCTTCAAGCATGTATGAAGTGCAAGCAGTTCACGCATGTATGAAGAAGTGCAGTGTGTATTTATAATGCAACTACCAACGGCTACTTTGGAGTCATTTAATTGCAACGGCTACTTTTTGAGTCACTTTTGGAGCCAAGGCAACTTTTTCAACCACTAATTACTTTTGGAGCCAAGATATACAATGGCTGAAGCGGTTAGTTGATTTCAATGGCAAAGAAGGGTAAATATGTCATCTGAATGAGGATAAATATGTCATTTCAATCATTAAAGAAATAATTAAATGGGTCAAACCAAAGTCAAAGGGTAAGAATGTCTTTTTACATGTAAAAAGTGGTCTGACATACCTATCAACTAACTTTTGGGGTGTGAGTGAAAAACGGAGCAAATGTTTGTAATGTGAGTGATAGTTATTTTCGAAAGATATTTTAGATTGATATTTGGCCAAACTACTGGGGGTGTCAGTGAAATTATCCCTTAAAATAATTACTTCTATGTCCATCTCACGAGCTCTTTTAAATTCATGAACAGAAGCATACAAGTCTAGAAATTTAACCAACAAACTAATATAGCCAATCATAGATGAGAGGATGCATGGGAGGCAAAATTATTATTATTATTTTTATTTCTTTTAAAGTCCAAGCAAACTCATACTCTTTTTATATTTTGGGGTAAAGTACATCCATAGAGGTTTGGCAAAAAGACACTAAGAGAAAATTTATCTATTTTTTGGATAAAAACACCCCATCTGAAGGTTCAAAAATGGACAAGGACACCCCTTTATATAAAAAATTAACCAAATTACCATTTGACATTTTGGAAGACTTTTTTAACTTTACAATTTAATAAATTGGACCAATTTACCCTCATAAACAATTTATGCATAAAAAAAAAAAAAAAAATTATATTGTTCACTTTTTTTTTTATTATTATTATTTACTTTATAAATATCCTAACTTCTTAAAAATGTAGATGTCTAAAATGATTTTTTGATCCAATACATATATTTCAAATAAATTATATTTTGTTATTACTTCTTTTCATTTTCTTTTTTATTTTTAAATTAAGATGCTTAATTCTTTCATCTAAAAAAATTAAACCAATCTCTTTTCCTTAAAAATAAAAAATATGGTATCAGTATAACTTTATGCATCTTAAATTATATATCAAATATTATGCATTTCCCAACATAAAAGAAAATAGGTACCAGTATAACTTTATGCATGCCTTTGTTTTTTTTTTTTAATTATTTTTTTTTCCCTTTGTTTTAGTATTATTATTATTTTTTTTCCCTTTTATGTTGGGAAATGCATAGTATTTGATATATAATTTAAGATACATAAAGTTATATTGGTACTATATTTTTTATTTTTAAGGAAAAGATATTGGTTTAATTTTTTTAGATGAAAGAATTAAGCATCTTAATTTAAAAATAAAAAAGAAAAAGAAAAGAAGTAATAACAAAATATAATTTATTTGAAATATATGTATTGGATCAAAAAATCATTTTAGACGTCTACATTTTTAAGAAGTTAGGACATTTATAAAGTAAAAAAGAAAAAAAGAAAAGAATGAACAATATAAAGTTTGTTTTTATTTTTTATTTTTTTAATGCATAAATTGTTCATGAGGGTAGATTGGTCCAATTTATTAAATTGTAAAATTAAAAAGTCTCATAAACGGTCAAAGGGTAATTTAGTCAATTTTTCATGTAAAGGGGTGTCTTTATCTATTTTTAAACCTTCAGGGGGTGTATTTGTCTAAAAAACAGATAAGTTTCTTCTGAATGTTATTTTGTCAAACCTCAAAGAGTGTGACTATACTTTACCCTATATTTTGTTTCTATTGTATTGGAATATTCACCTCTCTTTGAGGAGAAGTGCTTATATCATATAAACTAGTGCTCATTGGTAGGGTAGAGGCAAATTTGATAAAGAGAAGATGGTAGTGTGCCATATAAGAGAAATGGTCCTTATCAATTATTAGCTGACAAAAAAAAAATAATAATAATAAATAAATAAATACAAAACTGACACATTTATTTATTTGTGGGCAAGTACTTAGTCTTCAAAATCATTGACTTCTCTTTTCTTGGTGAAGAGAGATATCAAGGTGAGATACCAAGGTGAAGAGAGAGAGAGGTGTCATGAATCAAAGTAGTGGTTCCACCCTTTGGGCTTGGTAAGGTGTCATTTTCATACTCAAATCTTGATCAAATTTGAGGGTGGATGATGTTATTGGAGGGTGGATGATGTTATGCTTAGGTAAATTATATGAATATTGTTATAGTGACAAAAAATTAAAAAATTATAAAGTATTGAGAGCAATTTATTTGAACAAACTGTAAGTGTAATAAGAGTAATTAATTAATCAGATAAATAAGGCAAACATTAGGTAATGTGGAGTTGGGATGTGCGGAAGTCAACGGTCTTCTCTCAAAGCATTAGCTAAAAGATGGGTTTAGGATTTCAGCCACCAAACTAAATACCTTCTTAAATCGCAAACTCAAATATTGTTGAATGTTACTCTCAACTCAGTTGTTGAAATCTTCAATATTTTTTATAATGTAGCAAGCGACGCACCAATTGCTCGTTCACCATTAGCTTAATTTTTGCAATGTGAGCCATTATTGAAGATGTGGCGAGATGGTTAAGGTACACAGACCTGGATAGAGCAAGGTGAAACACGATTTTTTTTTTCTCTGGATAAAAAAAAAAAAAAAAAAGGGTCGCCTAATGTACTTATCCCATTTGTAAGAGAAAATCTTTTTTAAGTTTACTATTGTAAAATGTGTTGGTGTATGTCTTAAATTCTGTTGAAGGTGTTGAGGGAAATAAATTAACATTCACCGAAGATCATGGAGAATCTCATGAAGGCTATCATCGTAGAACTATTCAAGGAAATAAATCAATTCTTAGTCAACTATAGTTGTCATATGTTTTCTTATTCCTTAAATAATTTCTACAATCATGTAATTACAATTGTGATTGATTTCTGTAGGTGTATATAATTGTATAAATGAAAAGGTGCACTTTCTCGTTTTGCCTGTCATGCGGGCCCCGAGGGCCGTTTAGGTGATTTTCTTGAGCCGAGGATTTTAGAAGTGCATTTTAATTATTTTAAGTGAATTACAGTTGACAGGATTATATTTAGAATATTTTGGAAGTCGGGGTGATTTTCGAGCTCAGGAACTTCTCTTGGTTGGGCAATTTGCATTGAGGGACATTATGGTCATTTTACAAATATATACATACACCTATGTCTATATATTAGAGGAGATATTTTGGGGATAGGTTTGGCATTTCATGAAAAGGGCATGAGCAAAAAGGTAACTTGTGCATAACTAATAACCGATCAAAGTTGGACACTTGGCATAATTGTGGCATGGAAGGATGCATGACAAGTGACCCATTTTCTTTTTCCTTTGATTTTCCAATTTCGGGTAACCCATTCACACTCCCTATCTCGTCATCTTCTCTCTCTATATCTTTACATCTATATGCACATGCATGTCCTCCATTGTTGAAGCTTATATTTGGGGTGCTTGGAGTGGGTTTTTGGAGAAGAGAAAGAAGGCAAAGTGAAAGGGCTTGGTGGGATTTCAAAATTGGCTAGGCTTGAGGGCTTGTTTGGTTGCACCAAATTGAGGTAGGGGTTTCCTAATGCTCTAAGCTTCGTCTTTCATTGAGTAATTATGTTTTGATCTCTTTTAAATTCTCTCTAAATGTGAAGTTGTGAGCTAGATGATGATGGTACGATGATAGGTGTGAAAGCATGCTCATATGTGTGTTAAAAGAGTCACTATTCTATGTTAGATGCTAAGTGCTAGCTTGGTTGTATTGATATGATCTTTATAATGAGCATACTTATTGCCAAAGTTTGGAAAATGCCATGCTTATAATTGTTTTTTACAAAAATCCTTCCTTGTGGTTATATTATATAAAATGCCATGCTTGTATTCAATTCATGGAAAATGTCATGCTTGTACTTAGTTCATAAAAATTATCATGCTTATACCATTGTTAGTATGGAAATGAAATTGAAGTTGAATTGATGAGATTGGTACATGTGCATTACATGGTGGGAAAGGGAGAATAAGAAAAGGGTTTTGAAATGATTTTATAAAAAGGAACCGGATTTCGCGATTCCGGTATTAACTTGATCTAGAGGGAGCACGTGCCGGTTTAGGACACATAAAGTTGATTACTAGGTCCCATATGGTCGTCGATTTAGAGGCCAATGATAACTAATCAATCTCGCCTCGGTAAAGTCAGTTAGCGGTTTTCAAAATTTGAGTTTAGG